CCAGCCGGAGTTGGGTTTTCAGGGGCTATAGCCCCCCTTTGCGAATTATTCGATTCATTTTCCTGGCGAACCAGCCTTTTGTTTATAGGCTTTAGACTTTGTTCATATCCCAAAAACCAAGTATGACTTGGATTCACTTCTGGACTGGACGGTACGGTATGCCTTCGGTGACCCCTGCGGTATGCATACTTCAATGTCGGTCAGTTGACCGACGGGATCCGCTAGCGCCCTCCCCCTGGACTGATGCCGCAGACGTACAGTTGACCATACCCAGGTCAAGATCAAAGCAGAAATCACCTGTTATCCTTCTGCAACTCCTTGCGCCAGACTCCGAGCTTTCGAAACACATGCAATCCGCGAGCAAGCCGTCATGCTCAGCTATTATTGTAACAACCATACTCCTCCCAAAACAGACCTCAATAAGGCCGCAGGTCGATGACCCGGTCCCCTTCCCACGTTCATGAGCCGTCACAGTCATATCGACTCTCCGAGCTGAACAAGCGTATTCTCATACACCTTCGCCACATCCATAGCCAGCCGATCATCATCATCATCCTCACCCTCGCCATACATACTGCTGGGAGCTACACTGCCTTCGGCCTCACTCTCCCGGTCCGTCTCGGTAGGAGTGACATAATCTCCATCCATATCATCATCCTCATCCTCCTCTTGGTCCTCTTCATCGTCTCCTCCTTGCTGCGCGTTACTCATCACATTGACGATCTCCACGCGCGTCTGCTCGACTATACTCCTGCACCGGACCTTATCTGTGGCAGTCATCCCGCCCTGCGAAGCAACCTCGAATCCGGGGAGAGATTCCCTGGTGTCTATATCCTTCCCTAACAGCAAACTGGCGAAGCAGTGGTCCAGCTTGCGCAGCAGGGAAAAGGTCGCGTTGGGCGAGGGCGGGAAGTGCGTCAGCCACTCGTCGAACTCGCCGGCTATGTTGAGGAGGTAGGGGATTTGGAGACTTGCTGTTGGCGCAAATTAATGTTAGCTATTGGGTGGTTTACGAGCGAAGAAAGAAGCACATACGTGTCGCAGATAACCAGAGGATATTGATCAGCCCCTCCACGTCCTTGCACAGCTCGGCCATGGACTTGTACCCGTGCACCGTGTCATCCGGGTTCTCGATCGCAAACTTCTTGATGTACCGGCGGCTGATGTAGAGGAGCTGTCCCTCAACATAACGGCGGACTTTGTCCTCCTTCGCCGAACCCGGGACCAGCGGGCGGCCGCGCGGATGGGGCAGGCTGGCGATTGATCGCGTGGTTGAGGTTGAGCTGGGCGCCGGTGACGGGGGCATGCGGACGAACCCGCCGCCGGTGGCTGCTTGGGAGCTCTCAGCCATTTTCGATTGCGTATCGGGAGTGGTGTGTTGAGTCCTGCAGGCGGTAGGGGTCACATTGCATTTTATATGGTGGTTGCAGTTTGTTTGTTCAGCGGACAAAGATTGGGGGAAAGGTGATGATTGAGGGAGGGAGCTGTGGTGGGGTGGTTAGCGAGCATTACGTAGCTGTCAAATCGCCTTAGTCAGCAAGCCGTTGATTGATTCCAGCCTTGCAAAATTAATTCCAGTAGTGACAGACACCCGGCTGAACATCCACGACCGCATCTCCTAATCGCAAGCTCCTACCGATCTTTAACTCCATCACCACATCACAACCGACATCATGCCTGCTCCCCAGAAAGTTTATGTCCAGAGGCAAGGCGCCATCGGCGAGTCCAAGGGCAGCGTGCGTTCCACATTCGACGCCCTCGTGTCCCCAGACAACCGCGCCGTCGTCACCAGCATCGCCGCCTTCGGGGTACGCAGCTTCGCTTTTCCTGCATGGCCGTTTGAAGGACCTGGAACTAACAGTCGAACAGGCCGCCGTTGCTTTCCTCGCCAGCCCTCTCGGAGAGGCTTTCCTCCTGTCAGTAGCCTTGGCCACCCTGGGGTCTCCGATGCGCATTGCTAACAGAACGAATCAGCCCCGGTTAAGCGAAGATACACAGACGGACGATGATAGGCAATGGACGACGATAGACTCGACAAAACGGCTGTATGATAGGATAAGGAGCGCTGTACTATAGACGGTGGTGGATGGAAAGGCGAAGCAACGGTGACGAACATATTGGTCTCGGACGACGGAGTTCTGCTTAAGAGCTTGAGGGATCCCACTTTCAATACAACACATCTTTTTTGATACCCTCGCGCGTTCTCCGGACTTGTGACGCTTGGTGGACTCTTTCGGTTGGTCTCCAGCAGCAGCCAGAGAGGAGACCAGGACTCCCATCCTCTCAAGGGCCTAACGTTCGTCTTGAGAGCTAGCAGTTGACTTCAACATCTCGAGGGCTTCTGAACGGAGTCCTGCCTTGAAAGCCAAGCCGAATCATACTTTCTCCATGGAATGGAGGATGGTCTCGGAAAGACAGACTGGAAACACGACGGCAAGGAGAGTTCGTGTCGAGGGCTGACCAGACAGACGTCTTCTGGAGAGGCTCGACGCGTATTCTTGGTAAGTAAAGATGCTCATCAGCGAACAGGGAAAACTGTAGTATTGCCGCAGCAGCACTGATTAGTGGTATGGTTTCACCAGGAGTCTTTGTTGTCTCAGCCCTTTGAGTATCAACTCCTTGTCAGCAGCAACAACAGCAACATCCCGACCGTTGGCCACATGCACACTCCCGAGCAGCCGGTACTTTATTTTTATATAGGCATGGCGCTCTTCCAAAGAATGGGTTTGATAGATGCTGTGCCGTAAGTTTGTTTGATGTTCCTGGAGCAATTTCCTGGAAGGCGGGTTGGAACAAACACCTCTTGCACCATGTTTGCATCAACTCCATGGGAGGTTCGAGCAACGAAACTGCTCTATTCACTCATGTCTCTTCTTTCACTCACATCTGCCAGTTCTTGAGTTTACTTCATCTCTTCTTAGCTCCTCCAACAATCGTCCTTACAACACAATCCCCCGATATCCAGTAGCCAACACTCACCATCCATTATTAGCACCTTATCTTCTCATTCAGCAAGTATTTCCCGGTATCATGGACCTCCCCACCTCTCATATCATGCACCTATCACTTCTCCTTCTCTTCGCCAGCCAGACCGCCGCCTTCTGGATCCTCGGCTGCGGCAAGCCCGTCGCCATCGAGCGCATCGACCCCATCGTCTCGCCCGGCGCCGTCTCGGACCACGTCCACAGCATCATGGGCGGCAACGCCTTCGACTGGACCCTGGACTTCGACAAGACCCAGACCTCGACCTGCACCACCTGCGGCGTGTCAAAGGATCTCTCCAACTACTGGGTGCCGGCGGTGTACTTCCACGCCGAGAACGGCAGCTATATCAGCGTCGAGCAGGTCGGCGGCGTCAACGTATACTACCAGTTAGGTTTACACCTCTTCCCCTTACCCAGCCACGTCTCAACTGACATAGCGACAGGCAACGCATAGATCACGAGGAAATCGCCAAGGGGAAAAAGATCCAACCCTTCCCCCCCGGCCTGCGCATGCTAGCAGGCGACCCAAACATGCGCACGTACGACAACACGAGCAACGCCCAGCGGGCCATCGAATTCGCCTGCATCCCCGGCGCAGGCATGAAGGGCAACGCAACGACCGGCGGCTTCCCCAACTACACCTGCCCCGGCGGTCTGCAGATCCGGGCGCGCTTCCCCTCGTGCTGGGACGGGAAGAACGCCGATTCCGCCGACCACAGGAGCCACCTCGCCTACCCGAGCTTGATGGACAACGGCGCGTGCGATGAGGAGCACCCCGTCCGGATAATGGCGCTGCTGTACGAGGTTACTTTTGCCGTGGACCGGTTCGATCACTTGAGGAAGCCGGGGGATCAGCCTTTTGTTCTTTCGAATGGGTGAGTTTCCACCTTTTTCTGTGATGACATATGAGCTGACAAGAGTAGCGACCCAACTGGTCATGGATGGCACGCCGACTTCCTCAACGGCTGGGACGAAGAGTTATTACGGGCAGCCATCTCAGACGACACGTGCGGCGACAGCGCCTTCGGCGACATCAACAAGTGCAAGCCGTTCCAGCCGTACTTGCTCTCGGCCGACGAGCAGAAGGCTTGTCCCATGGTGCCGAGCAAGGTCAAGGAGAAGGTTGATGGCGTCCTGTCTGCCCTAGCTGGTCGGTTACCCGATGATGATGATACTGCTAGGACGGTGGTGGTAAGCATCCCCGCGCCGACTGCTAGTGCCAATGCGGCGCGGGGGAGGAGGCTGGGAAGGAGTTGGTTCCGGTGAATGAAGTGGTTGCCTTGCACAGCAGCGACATGATGATGTTGCTTCCGTCGGTTATGAAAGGGCAGAGTGGTCAACAGCTGCATGCTGGGCATATGATGGATGGACCTCGTTGCTCAAGGTCGTACTGGAGGTGTTTCGGCATGCCCATATTGCACCTATGGCAACGTGGTGTCTAGATTCCATTCCACATCGCCTCTCGTATTGCATCTTGGTCCTTTGTTGGAAAGGGGCTTTCAACGAGGCGTTGGGATGGAGAGGCCCTAGCAAAGGGATACAGCTGGGTGGTCTGGTCGTTGCGGTCTTGTTTAGAGTCGGACTCCCTGGTCTCCTACATGGCTAGGTAGGCAAGCACACGGATGGCCTTCCTGCTCTGTTGACGGCCTTTGCCAGAGTGCTCCATGTCGGAACCGGTAGAGAAAATAAATGGCACTGGAGATATCCACGTACTGGGCGATCCCGTGACAAGACAACGATTCTCCGCGCTGACATGCGTGCGAATATCACAGGTATATCTCAGGCAGGAGACTGACTGAAACCAGTTCACAAGTGGCAGGTGAAACACGAGCTGACCAGCAATGTCTGCTGCCAGCCGTCCAGAGATGGTAACCCAGTTCATGGGAGAAGCTCTGAAGCGTACATGATTCCCATGGGCGTGCTTGTCGATGGCCTCAACCCAACACTGATCAATTGGCAAATAAATGGAAAATAAACGACAATCAAAACAAAGAAACAACATGATTCAAAAGTAAGTGGAGATTGTGGGAATTGAACCCACGACCGTCTCTATGCATGTGATTGATCTGCTGGAGACCAATATGCGAAAGAGAAATCATACCCCTAGACCAAATCCCCTGTTTGATGGAATTGCATCCCGAAAAAGAACCTCATCTGCCAAACCAGAAACAGCTGACTCGTGTAGAGGCGGCGTTCCTGTCGCGGAATGGAGACGGGCCGACGGAGCCGTGGTGGTGTGGCCGTCCGAAAGAGAGGAGCTGAGTCAGGAGAGCAATAGCGGAGCGAGCTAGGAGCATGATGTAAATGGATAAGACCCCGACCAGCATAGCAACCGTGGTCTAACGGTTAGGATTCAACCCTTCCAAGGTTGAGGCAGGGGTTCGACTCCCCTCGGTTGCATTTTTGCCGTTTCTTCCTTCTGTTTATCCCATACTTCGCACCGTCTCGTGCAAAGTTTGCTTCAAGTTTTCTTTTTGCATCTTCGTCCATCATGCAGAAGTACACCTGTCGTACGGTCGCCTGTGTTGGCGCGCAAGGCGCGGTACCTGAACCACGGCTGGGCGATCCATACGATTTGGGCGACGCAATGAACGATCAGCTTGTTATTATCGTACGTACTATTATGTGTAATCCTGCCAGAATCACAGGTGTTTGATGTCTCTCACTGTGCCCGTCCTGATTCAAACTATGCGAGCTGTCAGGATTGCACGCCTCCGCCAAGAGGTGAAGTGCATCGCCATAAAGATGGACTTGCACAACCCCTTTTGAGCGTCCCCTCTTCCATTGCCAAATAGGAAACCACCCATCACACATGCTATCACCACCACCAGCAGCATCACGGACTCCGGTTATACGGCGCCCCAGAAACACAAGCAAAATCGGCCTCGCTCGCCCTAACACTCCTCTCCACCGTTGTGCCGGATCCAAACCTAACCATATTCCCCGTCCCCTCACTAACCCGTTCCCTATGCTGCTCCCACCCCATCTCCCTCAACCCATCCTCCGGATCCCTCATAAACGCCAGCAGGTAGTCCTGCATCCTCTCCGCCACCTGCCTCTCGAACCCCGTCGCCGGACCCGGGCGTTCATAACTCCCCATCAGCAGCGGTATATCCCCGGCGTGATACGCACCCAACCACGGTAAGGGGGTGATGTTGCTGAAATTCCCGGCATATTGATACCTGTACGTCGTGATATTCAGCGCCGCCCGCACGTCCGTCGCGTTGGCGGCGAGGCAGACGAACACGCCCACCGTGCCCTGGTCGACGGCCGTCATGTTGGGGCCAGCGGCGACGTTCTGGACGGGGTACTTGAACAGACTGGCCTGCTCGTTGGCCGTGGTACTGATGAGCGTCGGCACACGCGCCACCTTTCTCTCGTCGAGCGCGCGCGACGTGTAATTGGCAAACGCCGTGCGGCCGTCGTTGACGGATTTGAACCCCAAAGCGGGCAGGGTGCCGTTGTCGGCGTACTGGCCCACGAAGTTGATGATCTTATTCACCGGCAGCTGCTGCATGCACCGCAACTCCGCCTCCCCGTCGTCGGGGAAGTCGCACCCCACGCCACGCGCGACGAAGGTGAAGTTGCTATACGCGGGTTCGGGGCTCGTGGCCGTGCCGCCTGGGACGTTGGCGCTCCCGGACTGGAGGAAGAGACCCGAGAACAAGGGTTGTTCGGGAAAGGCGTAGGCGAGCATGTCGACCACCACCCCCCCCGCAGACTGGCCCCAGAGGGTGATCCTGTCCCGGTCGCCGCCGAAGGAGGCGATGTTGGCGTACACCCACTCAAGCGCCATGCGCGCGTCCAATAGCCCGGGGTTCTGGTCCGAGAGGCCGCGGGCGAAGGAGGGGAAGCCCATTATGTTGACGCGGTAGTTGGCCGTCACGGCTATGTGCGCCTGGGTTCGGTTCACCCAACCCGCGGGGATCTGGTAGGGCACCTCTACGCCGCCGCGCTGGAAGCTGCCACCCGGGATGAAGATGATGACGGGGAGGTTGGAGTCGCGGGTCAGGTTGCGCGGCGCCCAGATGGCGAGGGAGAGGCAGTCCTCCGCCGTCGACTGGGCGAAGGTCCCCGCGGAGTGCGACTGCCAGCCTACGTCGATGGAGAAGTCGGATATGTTGGTGTTCCATACAGATAGAGGGGCGGGGAGGTACTGCGGGCATGAGGGCGGGAAGTTGTAGGCGTAGTGGTGTGTCGTGGAGGGAGGGACGGCGACGGGCGGGAGCCAGCGACGGGAACCGGTTGGAGGCAGGGCGTAGGGGATGTTGCGGAATTGGCGGACGTTGGGGAGGGAGGGCTCTAGGAGGGCGGTGAAGACGCCCGTTGTTGTGCGGACAGTGAGGTCCGTGGGTAGGGAGGATGTTTGGAAGGCTGCGAGAGAGGGGGAGAGGAGGCAGAGGGAGACGACGGCGAGTACACTGAGATATGCCATTGTTGCTGATGTCCTAGGACTAGGGCGTGGCTACTGTACAGCTTCTATTCCTGATGAGAAAGGATAGCATCTGGCGATGAGCTCGAGACACGTCCTCACAGCTCCTAAAGTACATTTTCCTCCTCGTCTTTCTGGGCTTCGTCCACAACTTCCCCAACATGAAGCGACTGCCGACATGGGCGGTGAATGCAAGAGACCGTTAACCTTCCTAAAGAATCCCACGATGCTCTTGGCAAGGTGTAGATACCAACCTCTTCCCCGCAGAGTCGAACCTGAATACCGGGTTCCATGGTCGTGAGGTACCTGATAATTGGACAACAACGTTGCAACAACGACATTGACAGCATGCATGGTGATGCCACCCAGTTGCCAGCTTCCACTCATGTTGGCTTCCTCCCGCAGGACAGCGCCGCACGTGGTGGCTGGGAAACAGTGGAAAGCGATTTACCCAGCCAGTAACCTGGAACCAGTGAAAAACATGCATCGTATTTGGTGATATCGCAAGGATGCCAGTTGGGGTAAGCACACCTCCGCGAGATCCTATGCGGAGGAACCTCCGGCCCACGGTTGTTTGTGTAGAGCTCGGCCCGAGGTGTTGACAGTGGTAACCTCGGAAACGCAAACCACAATGGGAGAAGAAAGAAAGTAGGAAAGAAACAAAAGCAGAATCCGAACGCAGAAAGAAGAAAGCACGCTGGCAATGTCCATAATCCTTTGACCTCCGCATCCAAGCACGGTGACCGACCTCCAGGATGATCAAAGCTGACAACCGCGCAGAACCAGGAACGCGAAGGTCGATGTGCAGACCTCAGGCAGTCGTCGAGGGCTCAACATTGTCCCCCGCAAGCGCAGCAAAGATTGCAGAGGACCGCCTAGCAGGCTGCTGCAGAGGCCTCTTCCTCTCTTCAGGCACAGGCTGCGCGCCATTGTCAATTCCATAAGGCGCAAGAAAGTCTCCTCCCCCGTCCAATCCAGCTGGCCGCTCATAGTACAGATTCTTCTCGCCTCCCCCCTCGTCATCGTTCGTGCGGGCGCCACCGCCCCTCTGCAGCTGGGCCGGGGTCATCAGGCCGACCGGGTCGTCCGCAAAGGCCTTGTTCGCGGCATCTGTGGCGGGTCCTTCCCGGAACCAATCTCGCACAGTACGAGGCTCCTGTGTCTCAAGTCCTGGGGGTGGGAAGACGTGGTTCTGAGGCGCGGGAGCGAGATGCGGGTACTCCTCCCAGAGCATCTTATCCCATGCCGCCGGGTCACACCACGGCTTCGGATACTCCGGCGGGATCTGACCTTCGCGCTCGAGACGCCAAAGCTCCCACTGCAGTGAGTTCTTAACGAATCCCGGCTTCCGGTTGCCGTCCTCCTCTTGCTGCGGCTCGGGCTGAGGCTCGGACTGAGGTTGCTCGGGCTCAGACTGAGGTCGGGGAGCACCGAGGATGGCCGGCCTCTTTGTCATGGTGAACCTCCTGGTCCTCGGGAAGTGCGGAGTAGTCCCCCTCGCCCTCCCCATCACGACGTCCGTTTCATACTGCAGCGTGGCCAGGCTGTTGATGTACTGGAACAGGTTGTTGCCGCGCTCGACCTGCTGGCGGACCATCTTCTCGGCCGAGTTCTCCGGGCGCGGAGCGAGCAAGTGGATGTCGAATGGGTCGACGTAGCCGTGTCCTGGCGTACGCTATGGTATTGGTTAGCTGGCAATAGCAAGGGCGCGGCAGCAGAGGAATACGTACCGGTAAAGATGGAGACTGATCATAGCCGTTCTCGCGATTCTCCTTCAGGTATTTTTCCTTCAGGAGCTGGGACTCGCGATCGGCATTCAGGAGCTGGGACTCGCGGTCGGCATCCAGAAGCTGTGCCTCGCGCTCGGCAAAGTCGTCGAGGGACGCCGGAATGCGGTTCCTCCCTACAGGCTTGTGACTGGGCGTCGAGACGTCGCTGGATGTGTCGTCGTCGTCCGAGTCGCCCTCGAAATGAGGCGGTGTCTTGTAGCGGACCGTGCTCGTGCCGGACTCAGAGTTGAGCCGGGACCTGGGAATGGGACGGGCAGTGGCGGGATTGCCGTTCGCGACCCGTGGAGGTAGGATAGGTACGTCCTGTGAGAGAGGCGTTGAGGAGAGGAAGGGGTTGCTCTGGGGTGTGGAGCTGCCGGAGGTCAAGTCCTGCAGGTGGTCTTTGTAAGTACTTGCTGGATACAAGGTATGCATGCGCGCGAGTGGTGTTGCTCGTTTGGGGGTTCATGCTTACCTCCTAGGACTGGTCCATCCGAGCTCGCTTCCTTGGCTGCATGATCTCCTTATCTGCCTTCGTGGGACAAGGTTTCCTGGCGCGCTTCTTCTTCTTCGTCGGGCTGGGTGTTTTGGGCAGCTCGGGCATGATAGTTGTCAATGAACGACTACATAGCCATGCCAGCGAAAGGGTTCGACTGCCCATGTGATGGAGATGCGTGAAGTTATCGGTCAAAGGATGATTGTTGACGGTTGTAGAACTGTGAATTTTGAATCTCCGAGATGAGGATGAGGATGTTGCGCGGTGAAGTCGATTCCGCCGGATAGATTCCTTCACTCCAGCTAAGGAAGTTCACAAAGGAACTCTGGAGATTCTCGGCCGGAGGTCGATATCCCCAGCTGAAGTACCAGAATAGCGATGAAATGAGAGAAAGAAAGGCGAAGCTGATGGAACTCTGCCC